CTTGAAGTTTTTAATGAAAAATTGTGACGAAACGCTTTATGCACTTTGATCGCTGTAGTTTGCTTAGGTTTTTTATTACAAGTTTTTTTTGTGTAATGCAAACCGTTTATTCAAAGTGCATAAATCTTGGCAAATATAACCGGCATAGTGCAATCGCGTCATGATTTTCATCACAGAACACTTTCAACAACTTAAATAAGATAATCCTCATTCAACAGCATGAAAAAAGGAAAGAATCTCTCTGAAATATGAATTATGATGGAAAATGTTGTACACTTTCATGGAACTTTTCATACAATGACAGGATGTGAAGACTTCAAGTCTCATTGAGCTGACGGTGGCGCCACCATTTTCAAAGGGGACGTCCATGTAATTTAACAACTCAAATCGAAACTAAACAGCGCGCTAATTTTAAAATTTGCTGTCATTTCCTCCCATTGTTTTCATATATGAAAAGTACAACTTCAAAAACAATAAAGTAGAGACGAACAGCGAAATGGTACAATAGGGAAATGGAAATGTATATCTGCAAAAGAAAACCACAGTGTTAGTGCTCTTTTTGGAAAACCATTTCTTTTTTCTTTTGAAATGTTGTTGGCAATGTCATTGTTATACACATCAAAGAATGATGAAAATATATTACACAACACCATTCAATAAAAATTGCATATTGATTTAATTTTCGATCAATGTTGCCGGAATGGAATTGTTATCGACCGTATCTTCAGCATAGTTTATTGGGTTGTTTTTTATTGTATTTTTTGAACTGAAAATTAGTTTTGGCATCGATAAATCGCTTTATCGCCAACAAGACAGACTGTCATTATTGCTGCTCAATTTATTCGGCTCCATATCAAAACGATTTACATATACGTATGCCACATTATGAAAATGCATACTGTTTACTCATCAAATACGGATTTATTTAGTTTGGATAAAACTGTCAATATAAAAGCGTAGGTTGAACAATGAATGCTCGATTTCAATAAAAAAAACAACGTCCATATTTATTTTATGCAAGCCATGTGTGTGTCTGTCAAAATATTATCACAAAATGGTGAAAGTTTTCCCACTTAAGTCGAATTATATAGTGACATTTCAGTGGTACACATCATTGCATCCAATATATTTTACTCTCTCATTTCCATCGATGGATGCGAAAATTCAACGATGGGTTGTAGTTGCGTCTGATTTTTGAAGGCATTTCGCCTAAGAAATAGCATTTGAAATAGTTGTCATAGTGATTTGACTTATTTGTGACCTATTTTAACTTTTCATGTATGTGTCAATGATTTTCACGATAGAAATTACTTTAGTTTACATCTATTCAAGGATTAATTCGAACATCTTTTATGAATTTAATTACAATTTTAATTTGGTGCAAAGTTTTTACATCATGTCATGATATCATAATGATTTCAACTTAAATTCTTTACTTTATGTAATTATGTACTATTTACCAGAGCATGAAACGTCAGCACCACTAACAATTTTTCTCCGAACTAACAATACACGAGTTTGTATCGTTCACAGACAGTTGACAAAACGTAAGATGTGATGTTATGTCAACTGCTTAGTAACATAAAAAATTATAGAGAGTCAATACCTTGTATAGGAAAGTGACATTGTTTCCACAGTGTAGCCGCTCCTACCTATGAATGGGTTAGTTTTATTAGCGTTGTTTGTTTTAGTGTGCTTTGTATACTAATACGAACTCAGGAGTGGCTCCTGAGAAGTACATTCGGCTCTTCTTAAGCTGTCACGTTACTTCACACGTGCGATTTTATGCTCTGCTATTTGCAGGTGCAATGTTGTTACCGCTCGCCACATATACGTACGCCGATTTTATGTATAAAGTACATACATTGAAATTACATGAAATATACTTAACGCTTAGTTTTTCATAAATTTGCAGAAGAGTATACACACAACTCGCTCAATCATAATTTGTCTGGATCCATTATTTTATATTATAATAGTAATGTTTATACAGTAAAGAGATGGAGAGAATTTCCATTTACGTAATATATGCAGCTCTGGAATAATATCGAAACATTAGACGAAATTCTTTACCTCGACACCATCTTTTTTCATGTGTTGAGAAAACACAACTACATATTGTTGAGTTGTAGAAAGAATTTAAATGTGTTGATGTTTACTATAAATGCGATGTTAGTGGACTTGTATCGAATAGCGTTGCCATTATATTAACTAACAAACAATTAGTATGAAAGTAAAAGTGATTTGATAATATTTTATTTCGCATTTTTTGACAATGTGAATTTATTGTCTTCTACCTTATCAAAAATTTTATTAAAGAAAATCAATAGATACTTATTGTTTTGAATCTATTATCAAAATACATCAATGCTTTATATTTCGACAAAAATGTTATCATGTGTTCGTCAGCAATTTCGCACCTGTTTACTTGGGAAAATTGCTTTGCTCGCGTATCTTACGCGTCATATGATAAATATCAACAATAACACCAGATAAAGAGAAGGAAAATGGATACAGATAAAATGTATTGAAATAGGCAGTAATTGTGAGCGACAGCATTGAGGGCAATATGATTGACAACATATTCTTCATTTTTGTGCCATCTTAAGTGCCCATTATAATACTGCAATAATAATAATATTACAGTTGACAATAAAATGTAAAACCTAATTACAGGGAGAGAAAGTGAATCCCTGCTGAATGGATCACATGAAAACTTTTCCTCCTTCGTTTATTTTCTTTTATTCGGTTTTTTTTGTGTTGCGATGCCGCTAACAAACGAAGAACATGAAATTTTCTGGCTTAGCACGAATTCAAAAAAAAAAAACGATTTTTTATCCATGGATTCATTTTACTTGGCGTTCAAAAAAACAAAAATATTTTCCTTTCAGTCACAGCCATTGAAAATGAACAAATTATTTCGATGTATGGATTTTCAATTAAGTATTCAAAATATTACGTAATTAATAATTAAAAAAATGTGGCGTTATTAAAGATAATATCCATATTTTGTTCTAAAATTCAGTATGGCTGATCAAATGAAATAATTTAACGTGACATCCAGTTCTGACAGATTTTTTTCAGATTCGTAATCGGAGTGCCATTTTGGTAAAAAATTTACATACTACAGGTAAGTCTGGTAACAATATGAAATACTACAGAGATTCTATGTAAGTGACTCTCTCAGGTTTTTGGGGTAATGAGTCCCCGAAATTTTTTATCTGTGAATGAATTAGCTGGAATCTATTAGCCGTCACCATTAAAATTATTCTATATTTTCGGAGTTAAAATGTGATAAACTCCCATAGATAAAAGCCCCATTTTACACATCTCACGGATCATGCATACGCATAATTTTTCAAATTCACATGAATATATTGATGTCATAAATGTTTTTTTTTTTTTTAATGTATACTTTTTCGGCGTGTATTTTCACTTTTCTGTGTGGTGAGATTGCATTTCAATTTGAAAAAAAAACTTTTTCAGCTTTGTTCAGTATCTTTGTTTTGTCTGTTCGCAAATATTTGAATTTTCATTAGGTCTTTGCTTTCTTGTATGTAAATTTAAATGTGAAAAGTGGAAACTCATCATGAACCTTCAATGAAAATTACATGAACGTTCAAAGAACTGTTCATCATTTACAGAGTATTTTATTAAGACTCAAGAAGTTTTATTTCATATGAAAATTTACCACATGCGTAAAAATAATCGAAAAACTTCATGAAATCGCTGGAAACTTAATAATTCCCATAAAAAGCTCAAATGTTGTATTGAAGTTGAAGCCGATTTCAATCTCAATTTGTAGAAACTTAATGTTTATGAAAGATGATAATTGAAAATATAAATGCAATTTTAAAAAGTCACTTTTTTAGATCGAAATTTTTATTTGTCATAATAATATAAAGCAAATACGATTAAAAGACTTGACTTGAAATGCTTAGCGAATGTGGGAATTTACTAACTTTATTATTTTCTTCTTTTCCTATGCAAATAAATTGGAAATTCCAATTTTAAGTACATAATGTTTGATTCAATGAAACAGTGATGGTTTTTTCCTATCTGAATAGCGCTAGCTATTCGCAGCGTCTGAACAGCATTGCTGCCCAGATGCTGAATCGAAGCGGTTGCCGCACGCGTTTTGTACCACACAACATATAGTCTAAGTAACCAGTGAGCTCACAGAGTATGATACACTAATACCATAGTCAGTATACAAACGCATGTCGAACAGAGAACGAACGCGAACGTGAACGTATATGGTCTGTGTGGTACAAACGAAGTGTGTTGCGCGTGCGGCAACCGCTACGATTCAGCATCTGGGCAGCAAAGCTGTACAGGCGCTGCGAAAAGCTAGCGCTATTCAGATAGGAAAAACCCATCACTGCAATGAAATGAACAGAGAAATCCCATTAAGCTAAAGATAAATGCGGTTGATGATGATTCGAAGTGACTGAATAAGTATGTGAACGAGAACATTCTTGTCTAAATTGGAAAAATACTTGAGCACGTGGTTAAAGTGTACACTAGCACGTGTATTAATTGATTATATGGAAAAGGATTTGCATTAAAATCAAATACAAATGTCGAAAGCACAGTGTCATGATTTTTGTGTTCACAAACGACTCGAACGCCTCTATTTCGGAAGATTATCTAATTTCTGACGTTTTTCCCACATGATTTACATTGTTGAATCAGCTCACTAGATAACACTGTTAGATACACTTAAAATACAATAGATAGAATGTTAAATGGCAATTGACTGTTATTTCGATGGACTTTTTACATAGATTTATTCATCAGAGAGAGGAACATACCGATTATATATATAATATCTTGCAAACAATTAAATTTGAATTGAATGCATCTGGTTTGTTGATTCAATAAATCGGATTACATAGGTACATATACATTTTTTTTCTCCCACTCTTCATTATTAATGATCATCAAATTAAGATTGGTAAATAGATTCACTCAAGTGAATAAATATAAAATCAACTTACCAACTAGCATCAAGGCAACAGCTGGCGGCATCACAAAAATCCCTACAAGCCAATCGGCTACGGCTAAACTCATCACAAAACAATTGGTAACAGTACGTAATCGTCGGGTTGTCAACACAGACAATATCACCAAGGTATTTCCAATAACGGTTATCTGTTGACCAACAAAATAACAAACAATTAAATATGATTGTGGTCAGTTTAACGATTAATCAAACCCACAATTGATGATGATTTCAATTTAAAAAATGGAGACAGAACGACCAAGTCGAACCTGTGGCACACAATCAAAAAGACTAACTTACCACAATGAGCAAGCAGAGAAGCAATGCCAGGACCAAATCGGTCCAATCGATTTTATGTGTTGATAATGATGGCGAATCAATCGGTATACTTGAATTTGGTATATTTGTTGAATTTGTAATGTCAAATAAATCGCTCATGGTGCTTATTGTTGTTGTTGCTGTTGTTGTTGCTACTAAAATCGATGATGATTTTTCTGAAAAATTTCCTACTATATATAGTGTATGATCCGTATTTAATGCTTCCATTTTGTTGACCGCAACGTATTCGTCACTGTTTTCAATTGGTTCTGTTTTATTTTTTCCGTGTATCTTTTTTATATCGAAATAAATCTTTATTCGTTTTTAATAGAAAACGTTATTTTATTTCATTTATTCCCAATTCGACATGGTCACAACTCTATGAATGTGCTTGTGGGTTATGCACTACAAAAACCAGCTGAGATTTCGTTCTCTTATTCTCGCTGTGCTATTATATCCATGAGTTTTGATGTAGAAAAATCTGTGCGAAAAAAATGAAGATAAAAATGAATAAAGAAAAAAAAGAGACAGAATAGATTGACAAAGAGATCATTGTTGTCTTTGTTTCAATAAATATTTTATGAGGTAAGCTTTTTAAACCATAACAAAAAAAAGGCTTTGACAATTCACTTTCGAAGCTAACTTCATTCAATGGAAAGCATACCATCAGGAAATTATTCTATAATCTTAATTACCGTGGGTCTAAAAGTTAATAATGCGTGAACGCTTTGCTGAATAGCCTCGCTTATACTTTGTCTTTACGTTTGAATATACATTGAATATCTCTTTTAGATCAAGAACAAAAGAACATCCATTTATCCGGTTCAGTATTATCGACCAATCCATCATTTCGATTTGTCTTTCACTCTTCGTAATCCAATTGAATGCATTCCGATACAAGATATCAACGAATTGACGGTCGTTCAGTGGCTTTGGGCTATAAATCGTCGACGAAGGACTATGTATAGAGATACAAAGTAAATGCCTGTACGCAAGAAAATCATATGAATTGCATTTTGACTGACACATGTTCAACTTCGATAATTCATATCCTCTCCATTTTTCGCATGGATAAAGCGATTTCCTTACGTTGTTGTGAACACGATTCAACTGTGATAAATAAATACATTTTTGGTTTCATTGAAATCGTTGTCACCTTGGATTTTTTTTTGTTGGCAATTGTTATATATTTTTAGCTTGGTTTTTTTCTCTATCTTTTCTTATGTTTGTGTGCTTAGTTGTGCGTACCACACAAATCTCTATACTGAATGAGTATTTCAATAGATTCACTTTAAATAAGTGGCAGAAAAATCAGTAATATATTACTATTCAGCCGTACAAATAAAAAAAAAATGAATAAAACATTTTACGTATGCCAACGGCATCATAGGAGAATGGCATTTCTTATACACTGGCCTTTTCTATTTTCTCGTGTGTACATGACTGGCTTTGAATTGTGCATTCTATTTTCGTCTAAATACGGTGGGTAAAAAGCAAAATAGCAATGGTACATTGTGTATAAAATAATGAAAGAGAACCAAAGTATATTCCGGTTTATTTGCAACAAATCCGTATATTTCGTCGTTTATTTTTTTGGTATATATTTTTCGTGACCATAATCATCATAGACACCCATGAGGTTCAAGTGATAATCTAATATTTCAGCGTCGGGATTCATCACATGAAGGTGAAGAATTCGATAAAAGATTCATAATGTAAGATTCTTTTACGATTGCTCTGCTCCAAGCCCTTGCTCGCATTTGGCATCAATGTGGGAGAAAGTTGGATGAAGATCGAGACAGAGTCAGGAGTTACCGCCAGATATGTTCATCGCAAACGTATGACTACTGTTTGTAGTTGTTTTCTAAGAGAACGCAAAGTAGTCTCTGCGCTGTTTGTGTCTGTGCATCTATAAGCAGAGTCGTGCGTTTGCGATGCAGTATAAGCGCAACGAATTAAGACTTGATTTCAAGAAATAGTGAATATATTTTTTTATTGAATATTAAACTCCAAAATATAGAGAGGTATATTGTTGTTTTTATTTATAAAATTGAATAGATAAGAATTGTGAAGGACGCACCACATGCTGGATTAAAATCTTGCGAAAAATGCTCCCATTTGGTTTGCCATTTCGCTTCGTCGTATTTTGGTAAAATCATTCACGATGCATAAATCAACATTAAGGAGAATAATATGCACGTATATTTGCACAAGAATTTCCACCATAAGAATCACATAATGTAACAGCTTGTTGATTAGGGTGTTACAACCAATGATGACAATCACACCGAAGATGACGACGATGATGCGAAATGCGGAAAACAATCGCTATAAAATTAATATCGATCATGAATCAGCAGCATTTGGATATCAAAAATATTGTGCAGCTCAACAAGTGTGAGAAATGAAATCAAATTCCATCGAAAAATTTCCAATGTGCTCTCCGCATTTCATTTGAAATGAATTCCAGTACACAATAATAATAATAGTGCAACATGAAGGACCGTTGAAATGGCAAATCCAAAATATGTACGGGTTCACGACAGTGGCCTTAAGTGTTTTTTATACAAATGTGCCATGTAGTTGGAAAATCGCGAAAAATAGAAAAAAAAATATTATCAAATACTGCTGAATTTTCTGTATCACCTCATCCAATCGAAATGGAAACATGTGCATTCCTCATCATCTAAATCTCGACTGGCATTCAGTAGGTGTCATTATATGGCAACCTTATATGAAACTCTAGGAGACAATTTTTTTTCGCAATTCTCATATACAATCAAATGGTCTCTATCAGCTGCTTCAATCATGTTGTAAGAATTCTCTATCTCTGTCACCAAAATTGTTGTTCCATATTATTCCGATGGTTTGCTTGTTTCGATATTTTTTTGAAATTATTGTTATGTTGAAGAAAATAAGAGCTACCTTTTCGCCGCAACGATTCATATATACAATGTGAACGCGCGTTTGGTATTGGAAGTAGCAGAGTTGAAATGTATTGTTTTAACGACAAATCAAATATCAAATCACAAGCAACGGAAATGGCAATGTCTTGATATTCAAATATATATTGTGACATAACACTTATAAAGTAATCAAAGTAAAATTTGATTCATGCAGCCAAGATGTGGATATAAAAAAGACACCATGAAACTATAGACTTACACTTCATATTTTATGGAGAACCAACATAGATGGAAGTTCCAAAACCGAAAGGCAACCAAACACAATAAATGAACACAACAACTTGTGGATGTGCTTGATGTAACCGCACCAATGAACAATATATATTCCCGATGAAAAGTTCATACAATAAGATTTTCAAGCAACAGCTTCTTCAGCTTGAAAATGTTTCGCAGAATAACTTTAGATTTGATGCCACACAAAGTTGTGCTCGGTTTGTTTTTACAACGTATGGTCGTTGGCATATGAACGTGTGTCACTCATGGTTGCCAATTAAATTGATTTCCACAAAATGGCTCTCTATACATCTAACATGCCGATATTGACGGTTGATATTCGAAGTAAAAGCAAAAAAGAAAACAGTTCACTTAACTGGGAATGTAAATTCCGAGAAACGTCTCATATCATGTGTTTCAAATAATTTAGTTTATGCTTCGTCACATTTGTGTGTTTTAAATGGAAATGTTGAAAGAGTATTCTAGATCTCTCTCTCTCTCTCTCTCTCGGTTTTATTTATCTTCTATCTTCATCGTCTGTGTGCCTCTCTTCCTCTCTAATAGTCTACTTTATATTATAACATTCAGTCTATCGCATTCGCACTTCATCTCGATTTCACGCTCTCGCGATTTCGCTCTTTCTATTTCCCTGTAAACAATTTCGCCGCCAGCTTTTCATACGGTCTGAATGAAATGTATAATACAAAATTATATAAAAACTTTCACCTACGCATCATGCACACAAAACAAGTGAATCGTAAAAATATACCGAAAAGACAGACAGGCGAAAATGAGCATTGTTAATGTATTAAGGAAAATGAGAATAAAAGGAGGAAGTAAAAAAAGGATAGAGAGAGAGAGATCGGGATCAAGTGAGTCATGTGGCAAAGGGCTTTGTTACCTCTCATGTAGCTCTCCCAAATAAATAAACGGTACACATTTTTGATTAAAGTAAAAAGTTTTGATTTATTTTTAACAGCGCATCGCCTTTTGCCAAAGTGATGTGAGGACCACATGTGTGCTGTGTCCATTGTTTTTGTTATTGTTTCCCTTTATTGTCTCATTGTAGTTTTTCCACCACATTCACGTTATGTGACATGTTTGAAGTTTTCTTATATTTTAGGTCTTACCTTTTGGTCGTGTATGATGTGGTGTGCACAAGCAATTTCTTCAGTAAACCTTTATGGACGACAACTTCAAATAAATAAGAGCCCAAACACAATCCCAAAATGTTCATAGTTGTTACGGTATAATTCTTTGTTTACCGCAAAGTGAAGGCACTTTGTTTGTTGACATAAGTGTCAATGCGGATTCGTCAACCTGTCTCCAATATCAAAACGATTAAAAAGTATCACCAAACAAAAACTAAGCGTAGCAAAGCGAGCGGAAAATTTAAAAAATCGAAAATAAAACTTTTTTCCGCATTGAAAAACCAAACAACAAAGTGAAAAGATCTGGTTGTTTGATTGATTTTGTACTTAATAGCATCACCAATAATATAATAGACATTTCTTAAACAACAGATCGCACACAAACTTATACCGCAACAAAATGAAAAAAGATGAAATGAAATGAATAAGATCTTCGAAGTACCTTTGGCAATGGCAACAAATTGCCAACAACACAAAAGTTAAGAAGACCATTTTTAATATTCTTCTTTGTATCCAATTGGAAAGTATCGTTGATTAGAATATAAAAATAATGTCAGCCGACATTAAATTTGAATCCAAGACAAAAAAAAAGTAAACTCGAACTTTGTTTTGTTATGGTTTCGAATGAGAATTACAATGTGTCATGATGTTTGCGTACTTTTTGGTATATTTGCTTTTGTCGAGAGTGCAAAGTATTCAATCAAAATCTAAATCGGAATGTTTTGTTGAGGAAAAAATTATGCGCATGATACGAGTTTCGATATGATATTTTACTTGAAATGTGAATTGTGTAGGAGATTACAATAGTCCATCTAATACTTAGCGACTCGTAAAAAGAATAACCGAAAGAATGCGCATGTATAAAATAAGGACGAAATTTGTTGAAACACTTGTGATGCCCTTGTTTTTTGTAGTTTTAGAAAACACACAGGTATCACATCTTGACGAGATAAAAGTATTTTAGCTGAAAATTGTATTTTGTTTTGTGTGTGTGTGTGTTTTTTTTTGCTCAAAATATTTTTGATAATATACCAAGTGTAGGTACACTTACGTTAGCGTGCAAACACCCAATATCAAACCAAAGTAGCATTATTTGCTTCAGGATTACGATTGAATGACTGAAAAAAACGGAAATAAAACGCTGGAAATGG